AAATACAGGACCGCCCACAGGGAGGTATAAAATATCCAGTAACATATTTGCTACAACCCACAGATTCCCTCCCCCTTATCCTGAGAGGTAACCCAATACACATACCTTTTACCACAATGCATCCTGGCTTCCTCTCCTCTGCCCTGGAGATAAGTGAGAAGTAATTCAATTATCTCCCAGGACTGGGACAAGACTCCATTATGCACATGGTGACACAAACACAGTAAAACACTTTAAAATACATAAAGTCACCTTTTACACATAACACACAGACATTTAACATATCCCCAGATAGCTCAGGTCTGAGCGCACATTATTAAGTGAATGGCGCTCAGACCACACGAATACAGTTTAATCGCCATGGAGCCAAAGTCTTTACAGTCAGTTTCATACGAACGGCCTCCATGGGATTCCTATCTGGGGTATAACACATTCAAACAAATCTACCGAACCCCAGGTAGAAAAGCACGAATGAAGCTTTTCTGCAGGTAAAAAAGATGTCTTTTAACAGGGGGCCATAGTCCAGAGGCAGCAGGCGAGCAACCAGGCTTCTCCAATGCAATGTGGCGAGATTGGTCTCGTCACAATATGGTTTCACACTATAGGTTCGTGTGAAAATTAGTGAAAAATGTTTTTCTTAGATAGAACATTGGCTTAAAGATAGAGTACAGAGAGTTGTCATTAAAGGTATCATTTCAAGATGGACAAAAGGGGTAAGTGGTGTCCCTCAGGGATCTGTTCTGGGACCCCTTCTATTTGACATATTTAAAAATGATCTAAAAATAGGCATTGAAAGCCATGTTGTAGTGCTTGCAGATGACACAAATGTCAATATTACATTTACTATTTACTCTGTAAAGTAATACAATGTGAGAAGGATATTACTTTGTTGCAGAAGGATTTGGATACAGTTGTGATCAAAATTATTTAACCACTATTGAAAATCATGTTTATTGTCAAGATTTAAAGACGTTCAGCTGCTTGCAATGAGCTAATCAAAAAAAAGCAATTGAATTCACACAACACAACAAATGTTTCAAGTGGTTTCACCAAAATCAACTGAAAATGCACCTTATAATGACTTATCTAATCTCAAAAGTATTCACCCCCTCTATGGCAAGTATTCACCCCCTCCATGGCCAGCATCTTTAGTACTTAGTACAGCACACTTTTACTATTATCACCTGCTCAAATTAGATGCACAGCAGCTTCTAGCAGCGTTCCTAAGGAAGCTTAGCTCATGAGCAACAGTCTCCATTTCAGTAGTATTCTTGGGTTTGCGCGCTGCAACTGCCTTCTTCAAGTGCCACCAGATATTTTCTATTGGGTTCAATTCAGAAGAAGAATTTTCCAGGGCTTCTTCTGCAACCCAGCCTTGGTGGAATTTGAGTTATGCTTGGGATCAGGGCCGCCATCAGGGGGTGACAACCATGCCACCAGTGCATCTGCTCTGGGGCCCATCAGGTGGCCCAAGCATTTAGGGCCACCCGATGAGCCCTATATCTTCAGTGGCCCGGTCAGCACTGTAATAGTGTGACCGGGCCCCTTTAAAAAGAAATTGCAGCTGCACTGCAAGTGCTGCTGGGAGGAAGTGACGGCCGGTCACTTCCTCCAAGTTTACTCTGAACGGGAAGTAGGAGAGACAGCCTGAAGGCGGAGAGGAGAGGCAGCCGACGCCCATCATCACCAGCCATCCTCCTGCAATGCAAAGGTAAGGAAGAGGAGGGTGGCTGAAAAATGAGGTGTGTGTATGTATATATGTATGTGTCTATATGTATGTATATATCAGTATGTGTGTGTGTCTGTATGTTTGTCAGTATGTATGTCAGCATGTATGTATGTAATGTATGCCAGTATGTATGAATGTCAGCATGTATGTATGTATGTAATGTATGTCAGTATGTATATATGTATGTCAGCATGTATGTATGTAATGTATGTCAGCATGTATGTATGTCAGTATTTGTATGTGTTAAGACACCCCTGGTGTCTTTAAACGAAACCGCCATTTAGTCGACCTTCCCCTTCTGCAATACCAATAATCTCCGTTCGCATAAATTGTAGTGCACGAACCAAACTCAGGGGAAGCGGCAATCTCCCGACCGGGATCCGTGAACAGCTCCAACCTCCCGAACAGAACTCCACGAACTGCTGCTAGCCGCCGAACAATAACATCCACCAAGCGGCTTTCGGTTCCATCCAGCAGTCTCTAAATGCAAATAATAAATCCCCCCAATAACGAGACAGAAGCTCCACATTGAGGGTCAAACAGGATCTGGCTTTACTGTGGGCTACCTGCCCGTATTTATGCAGGTCTCCCACTTGGTGGACACTCCCCAAGGGGACCAAATGGGAGACTGAAATGACAGACAGATATGGGGACATTCAAGACACACAGTCACAGCTTTTACCAACAATGCAATATGGTTTCCTCCCCTCTGCCCTGGAGATAATTAATAAGTAACTCAATTATCTCCAGGACAAAGCCAGTCACCATTTTAAATATAAAATCAGAAAAGACAAAAAAATACATAACTTCACAAAAACCGAACATTTCCCATTCGCATCACATATCCCCAGATAGCCTGGATTTGAGTGCATATTATTAGCGAATAGCGCTCAGATCCCAGACACATAGTTCAATCGCCATGGAGTCAAAGTTCTTACAGTCTTTCAGTATACGAATGACTCCATGGGAAGGCTATCTGGGTTAAGTCCTTTCGTATGTATTTAACTCGTGATTTCAGGTATCCTGACCTCGGCTTAGTATTTAACTTGTGATTTCTGGTATCCTGACCCCGGTTCATATTTAACTCGTGATTTCTGGTATCCTGACCCGGTTCGTATTTAACTCGTGATTTCTGGTATCCTGACCCCGGCTTTGTCTTGACTCTGAGTATTCCTGTTATCCTTGTCCTTGATTTATTCTTGACCCTGATTCTTGTTGTTAAGTCAAGCCATTCTAAGGTTTGGTAATACGTCTTTTGGATTCTCCTTTTGTGGTTTCCTCTTTCCTCCATGTTGGGTTACGACTCCCATGACCTTTGATCTATTTCAATTGCTTTTGTTTGATTCGATCATTGCAAACAGCTGAAAGGCTTTATATCTTGACAATAAACCTGATATTCAATTTAGATTTTTAAATTGGGGGTTGAATAATTCTCATTACAACAGTAAATTGAGGGACTGGGCATTTAAATGGCAGTTGAAATTAATGTAGATAAATGCAAAGCTGGGCACTATGGGGTACAGAATACACAAACAACTTTCACCCTAAATGGTAGTAAATTAGGATTAACAAACAACAAACTAGGCAACAATGTGCAATGTCAATCAGCAGTTGCTAAGGCCAGTAAGGTATTGTCATGTATAAAAAGGGGCATTAATTCTCATGGTGAAAACATAATTTTGCCTCCTTACCTCAACTTCAATATAATGTTCAATTTTGGGCATCTGTTCTAAAGAAAGATATATTACACTAGAAAAAGTGCAGAGGTGGGCTACAAAATTAACAAAAGGAATGGTACGTTTTAGTTATTAAGAAAGGTTTATACATTTAAATCTGTTTAATTGTCTCAGAGAGGATATGATAGCATTATACAAATATATTCAGGGCCAATACAAACCATTGTCTGAAAATCTATTCATAAACAGGACTATACATAGGACAAGAGGTCACGCATTTAGACTGGAAGAAAGGAGATTTAGTGTAAGGCAAATTAAAGGGGTTTTTTTACAATAAGAACACGAACGATGTGCAATATTATGCCTGAAGAGAAATAGAAGAGGTTGTTTTATCAGATGTTTAAACAGAAATTGGATGAATACTTGCAAAAACATAATATTCAGGGATATAATTTTTAATTTGTGGCATGACTGCTTTCTGATCCATTGAGAGATCTGACTGTCATTCAGGGGCCAAGAAGCATTTTTTCCCCCTAGTTTGCTGAAAAATTGGAAAACGCTTCAATTTGGTTTTTTTTACGTCTTTTGGTTCAACAGCAAAAACACATATGAGAAAGGCTGAACTTGATGGACACAAGTGTTTTTCAGCCTATATGTAACTTAGTAACATTGCTGGTTGGGTATTGTGGCATTATCCTGTAACATAACATTGGAACATCAGACGAATGAGGGACTCCACTTATCAACAGGGCCGAAAAGATTGTGAACTTTAAACAGCACAAAAAAAATTGACAATTTCACATTGTAGCCATTAGGTTTATTACAAAGGATACGTGTCAGAAGGAAAACTATTTCAGATAGTAATACAATGTATATGGAAAGGTCATACCAAGTTTAACCCATCTGTTCAAGTAGAATCTAACATATTGAGAGCACAAACAATGATTTATTGGCATTCTTTGAGAAAAAATACACAGGGCAAAGTGATACAAAGTATCTGTCATAAATTGCTCCGGAAAACACAGGCATTTCTCCATTATGTGTCTGTGTCGGAGCACTGCGGGTCTTTGCCAGTTTGTATTGCAACTGGATCTGCTTTTAAAGATTACTTCATAGGATAACCATAAAGAATGAATGGAAAAGGGTAGAGCAAAGTATCTAAATTGCTTCTCGTCCATCTGGATATGTCCTCTGTGATGGCTCTACGGAGGCTTACAGCCGTATAACGTTTCCTCCAGAGTCTATTACTGAATTTTATATCCAGAATCTTAAGCTCAACAAAAACCTGCAAGTGATTAGTCAGTGACAGTAAAGATAATGTACTTGATCTTATCCGAGGGTGATCATTGCTCAATAAACCTCTCTGTCATCCTTAACCCTTACAGTATGAGACTCTCCATTAACACTTGAAGGACCATATTTTGGATTGGTCACTCCAGGGTTTCTGTGTGTGATACAACCTGTCAGACAGCAAACAGCGTGGTCACTAGTGATGTCCCGAACGGTTCGCCGAACGGACTCATCATTGAATAAACTTTGACCCTGTACCTCACAGTTAGCAGACACATTCCAGACACATTCCAGCCAATCAGCAGCAGACCCTCCAGCCAATCAGCAGCAGACCCTCCCTCCCAGACCCTCCCACCTCCTGGACAGCTCACTAAGAATGCAGCTTCAAAATGGATGCTGTCCAGGAGGTGGGAGGGTCTGGGAGGGAGGGTCTGCTGCTGATTGGCTGGAATGTGTCTGCTGACTGTGAGGTACCGGGTCATAGTTTACTCAATGATGAGTCCGCGGCGAACCGTTCGTGGCGAACCGTTCGGGACATCACTAGTGGTCACTACTATTTTATAGCGAATCAGAATGGACTCGTCATCCAAACGAAATAGATGGAAAGCACTAAATCCTTTTATTAATATATTCAGATGAGCTCCAGCAAAACCAGGTAACACTGGGTCAGAATGTCGCCTGCAGAATGCTCAGTCCTTATAGAGTGAGAGTACAAACAGCCTGTCTCACTCCTATATGGCCCTAACACTGTCTGTGTGTCCGTACCCTCTTACTGAGTCTTCATAAGACTCCCCGGGATTCTACATAGGAAAACACACTAAATTCTCTGATGCCCTCTGTGGCAGAACCGTCTGTCTTTGGATTATGTTTCTCCTCCCTCCATTCGTCTGTTTGTTCGGTTATTTATTTACCCGTACAGCCCCTTTGTTTCCCAAATGATTACCAATTATGCGACCACCAGGAAGCTGGAGTGTGCCTTCAATCTACCTCCCTGAAGCTAGCGTGTGCTGGCAATTGACCACCCAGTATCTGCGGTTAACCGCAGCTTAATTGACTGTTACTGGGTGGTCGCGGTTACACCTAGCCGCCACACGATGGCGGTGTTATGGAGCTCCCTGGGCAGCCAACGTTGTTCTGCCCAGCCTCAGTACACCAAAAGCGGACACTTTTCCTTTCAAGCACCACTGAGCTACCAGCCTACGGGTCTTCAGCTCCGTTCGTGAACTTTGTCGAGACTTTGTGTTTATAGTGTATTCTATGTGAAAGTACCCAGATAGCTATGCCATGGAGCCTGTTCGTGAAATTAAAGACTTTGGCTCCATGGCGATTACACTGTATTTGTGTGGTCTGAGCGCCATTCACCTAATAATGTACGCTCAGACCTGAGCTATCTGTGGGTATGTTACATGTCTATATTTATTGTAACAGTTTGAAAACTTTCTATTTTAACAGTAATGTCTATCCTGTTGTCCCCACGTGCATAATGGCGATTTGTCTTTGTCCTGGGAGATAATTGAATTACTTCTCAATTATCTCCAGGGCAGAGAGGAGGAAGCCAGGATGCATTATGGGGATGTATTGTGACTGTATGTCCTGATCTGATACCTGCCTGTCCTTTGTTACAGTCTCCCATTTGGTCCCCTAGGGGAGTAAAAACAAAGAAAAACGTTACCTGCGCTCTGGCCTAGATCCCCATGTGCATTTGAACAAAAATGGAGGCTCTTTAGTTCTATTCTAAATGGCCATTTGAATATATAAGCTCACCAGCCACGTCAAGGCAAGCCTCAATAGGTGAGTTCCTACACTAGCCATTAGATACGCTGATATCAGCCAAGAGTCTCCAATAAGACAGGAAGGGGTATTTTATAAACCCTTTAACATTTAACCCTTTATAGGGCTTCTGCACATACAATAAACTTTGCTGATATCAGACAAAGTGAGACAGAAAGGGGTGTTTTATAAACCCTTTAACATTTAACCCTTTATAGGGCTTCTACACATTCAATAAACTTTGCTGGTATCAGACTAAGTATAGACGTCTCTAATGAGACATGAAAGGGTGTTTTATAAACCCCTACATACTTTACCCTAAATAGGGCTATAACATACAAATCACCTTGCTGGTATCAGCTAAAAGGCAAATTTCTCTGATGAGACAGGAAGGGGTGCTGCCCCTACATACTTATAAAGTCTTAATAAGACAAACGTGGGAAGGCTGGCAGCAATGTAACATAGCTGAGTGATACAAAATTCATATACAAACACAAAGATAAAGCACCGCGCTTACAGCAGCAGTGGCTTAGTATCCAACAGCTTAAAATACATAGTAAAAACAAAGAAAAACGTTACCTGCGCTCTGGCTCTGATATCAGCAAAGTTTATTGTATGTGCAGAATCCCTATAAAGGGTTAAATGTTAAAGGGTTTATAAAACACCCCTTTCTGTCTCACTTTGTCTGATATCAGCAAAGTTTATTGTATGTGCAGAAGCCCTATAAAGGGTTAAACGTTAAAGGGTTTATAAAATACCCCTTCCTGTCTTATTGGAGACTCTTGGCTGATATCAGCGTATCTAATGGCTAGTGTAGGAACTCACCTATTGAGGCTTGCCTTGACGTGGCTGGTGAGCTTATATATTCAAATGGCCATTTAGAATAGAACTAAAGAGCCTCCATTTTTGTTCAAATGCACATGGGGATCTAGGCCAGAGCGCAGGTAACGTTTTTCTTTGTTTTTACTATGTATTTTAAGCTGTTGGATACTAAGTCACTGCTGCTGTAAGCGCGATGCTTTATCTTTGTGGTCCCCTAGGGGAGTGTCCACCAAGTGGGAGACCTGCATAAATACAGGCATGTAGCCCTCATTAAAGCCAGATCTTGTTTTACCCTCAATACGGAGCTTAGTCTCGTGATTGGGGGGATTTACTATACAAGGATAGAGACTGACTGCTGGGAATGTAAGCCGCTTGGATGCTGTATCTGTTCGTCTGTTCAGGAGTTTGGAGTGTTACTAAGTATGCTGTTCGGGAGATAGGCGCATTCCCCTGGTTCCAGTTCGGGAGTTTGGGCTTTAAAGTAGTCGTGCCTGTATCTCTGCAAAGGGGAAGCTCTACTAAACGGCGAGTTTACTCCTTTATGTCGGGAGTGTCTTAACACCCTCTACGTGCAGTCTATCACTGACATTAAATATATATAGAGAGAGACAGTGGGAAGAATTTATATGGGGCTGGGGGGGTCATGTGTAAAAATTGCAATGATGTCACAAAACAATAAACAGAGGGAGATGGGAGTTTCTTGCAAACATATGGAAATCTAGTGGAAAATGTCAACTTCAAAGGAATGAATGGAGTACGGGAACCGCGTATCTTGAAGTTAGAAGGGTGGGACCTCATCCCAGTTGTAGTGGTTGGCCTGCTATAAATCGGGTGAAGCTGGTGGTTGGGCTGCAGGTTCTGGCTGAGCAGTAAGACACAAGGCAAGGAAGAAGGCAATCGAGAGGCAAATAAAGTGTTACAGCTGTCAGCTACATACTTCTCAAATAACATCTTTAGTCTAAGAGAAAAGGTATTCAATGTTAGCGCCATGCCAATAGGACCATTCAACACTTAACACACTGTAAAATAATGACCATAGTTCTTCCATAAGATCTTGATACCCAACAATTAAGAAAACAAAAAATGTGTTTAATATCATGTTAAAATATATCAGAATTACAAAAAGAGTAAAAGCTGTAGGTGCAGGATAACCGCTCTCAGTAACTCACCCAATAGATGGTTTCATTTAAACTTAACTGATGTGCAAGGGAACAAAACAAATAAAATGCACAGGGAGAACAAATTACTGTCCAACTGCCTACTGTGGCCAATGTTGTTTAGTACGGCAGCCCAAGCCACCAGTACCCCTTATTGGTGGACTAACTACACACACATGTTCTCTCTGAAGCTGCCGTATCAGTTAAAAGGTTAACCAGAAATACTCGAAAATGAACTAATCTGTCATTTCTCTAAGTGAGCTACACTTGCAATAGCCCAGTAAGAATTAATTATCCATGGCAAAAAGGAAATTTTAGAGAATTGTAAATAAAATTACAAAAATTAGGTAAGAAAGGATGAAGATGAATGTATTGCCCACTTTCTACACTCTTTTATTTTGCCCCTATTGACAAGCTGAACATTTTTTCCTTTACCCTCACCTGGCCCTAATATTTGCAATTCCCTGGTTAATTCCAATTTAGTGAAGAACCCAGTATGTAGCGTGAAACTGTGAAATTCCCATTTCAATGACCATTTATGTCACTCATTTTTGGTACTTGTGTGCTTTAAAATAAGCTCAAAAAAGCCATCTAAATCATGCAATAGAAGCAATAAGTAATGTAAAGGAAGACACCATATTAAATAGGAGTCGATATTTTAATAAACTCTTTTCCTCAGTTCCTTTCTCTGAAGGTTATCATTCACCCCAGTAAAAGTAAAGATGAAAGTGCTTTGGCCCCCACTGGGAAAAGAAGATTTCAAGCCTTGATCTTTTTCCTGCCTGTGACTTTCTAAGAGTCCTTAGGGGAGCGAGGGAAAATGCAGGCAGAGAGTTTAAAAAATACATTTCAACTCTACAGGAAGGTGTCATTATCGTGGAGAGCAAAGAGAACGGATACAATCTGCTCTGAAAACTGCTGGCCCAGGGGGAGTTTGGGAAATGAATACATTATGGCACAGGCTTTATCTGCGCAGGGCGCTCTGCACACTGTTTACTTCCCTTGAGATGCTCACACATTGCTCGTCAGGCTGTGTTCATCGAGAAATGACCTCGTCTGAATTCCACACTTTCCATTCACCTCGATTAGTGACAGTGCTAAACGTGAGCGCCCCAAAGCTAGTGAGCATTAGAATGTTGCACGCTGTTCCCTGGTTATTATTTATTTCTGACATGTCCATTTAATAAAATTATGGGAATATGTACCTTAGCTGCGGGGGAGCATGACGCTCCTGGCTGTCCGCAGGCACATTTGATGGCTGGACATTAATAGCTGCTGGAAAACTCAAACGCAGTTATTCACAATTTAAGTAATGTATTTTTAAATATGAACTATGCATTAAGATTTTACTTTGTTTTAATGTATGGCTTAAGCTGATTTTTTACTCTTTCTAAAGGTCTTGAGAATGTTTGTAAAGGGCAGATCTAACAATAGAGCACTCAATTGAGACATTCGGTTGGTTTCCATGGCGATTGCTCCATTTTTTTTAAAGCATTGCTCTATAAGTCCTCTGGGGGTTTGACATTGCATCCATTGGACAGGGGGAATGATCTCACCAGTGAAATCCATGGTGGCTCCAATGTTCCCACTTTCTCTACAGCTAGTTTGAGAGGGATCCCCCAAAGCAAGCACTGTTCTCACCACCAGTATCGTAAAAAGACTGGTACATGATCTTATATCAAGTGTCAGAATAAATTTTGATGGGTAAACC